ACAACAGGTAATCATAGATTAAGGGAAAACGGGGCAAAAAATGAACACTCGTTAATAAGGTACATAATAAACATGAAATGCTTAACTGCTGGTATAGATTAATTAAAGTTTATGGAAATGAAAATAAAATCATACATGTACTTTCATTATTAAGTATTTATATGAACACTAGTACAGCTTATTAAGCACATCGAATTTAACTGATAAAGTAAATATAATTAAAATCTATAAAATGATATCATATACATACTATAACCATGAACAACTTTCACGAACATATTTAATATATGTTCGAGCACTAGTAGTTAGTACATATGTCGAAGTAGAAAAAATTAAAATCTAAAAAATCAAATGAAGTAAAACTGCATACGTATTTTCATCATGAGTACTTTCATGAATTTGCTGCGCTCAAATTTTGAAGAAGCGAGCTGTTCTAAAAGAGACAGTAAATTCGTGCACAGTTCGACCTGGAATTCAGGTAAAAACTTGGCATAGGTCTTTGTCTTATCGAGGATTTTATCGCAGTGAACCTAAATGCATAATCACCTCGAAGATATACGCTAAAAAACAAAGCATTATGTGTTTACCAGTTCAAGCAATGATGTTAGAAACGCCCTATTGGCCAAATGAACGAGGAACAGCTTCCGAGGTTCAAAAGTGTACTTCAGGCATGAGTCAGAAATGTTTTCGCAGAGGTACGGCCTATATGGATTTTCGGAGTCTTTGTCGACGCTGCGCATCCAACCCTCTGCGCTGCTACTCATCACCCGGTTCAGCTCCGTAGCGCAAGTCGTCTGTAGGGCCGACGGCACAGATTCAGGTTCAACATCGCTTGGTATGAAAGGCACCATTTTACCGCGGTACAGCATCATCGGCTCAGTCAAGCGGGTGTCCGAAAACACAGTGAATGGCTGATTCAGAATATAGCCGATCTGAAATGAACAAACGTGATCAACGAAGAAAAACGGCAGAAATTAGCGATTACGAAACATTTAATCTGATTGATACCAGAAAAAGATCTTTTCAGTGCTCAAATTCTACCACGCAGAAAAGCCGTAAAGACTGGGACTTCACGACTGATTGTGAGGCTTGAACATCGATCAGCAAATCAGCGAATCCTGACGAATTACAAGAGCCAAGAATCAGGACTTACTTCCGGTATATACGTATACGGAATGAGGCAGATTCATTGGAGTTTTAACGTTTTTGTTCGACCCAAAAAAGTGCTGCTGTTTTACGCCCATACACTGCAGGTACCAAAGTGTCATAGAGCCGTAACCTGCTTCAACAGTCCTTTATGCTACTAAAAGCAGAAAGATGGTTCTTAGCCGTGTAAATCCGAAGAACTGAAAGAGAAATGCTAAAAAAGACCCACTTCGCAAAATACAGAGTCGATCACCAATGTCAGTTATCAGCAGGGTGATAACAACAAGATTTTACAGTGTACTAAATACTTTGCTTCATTGGACTTAATGTAGAAATTTCAACTGTTACACTACAAGGACCTGATGGAAGTCATTAGGTGCATACATTTACACCGACAATTTTGAGGCCGTTGAAGCAGGATTCGATAATAAAGTTTAGTGAATGCAGATTTTATACGAATATATGTTGTAGTTATATATTCCTGTCTTTCTGCATCCAATTACTATAAGCTTGACCTTATCAACCAACAAAAATTACATGGAAACAGGGTCAGCATTTTCAGAAACCTGTCGAAACCACATCTCATACACAAATCTTTGGGCTATCTCGAAGAGTTTTTCAGTAACTAACTTTACAATAACGCGCTGCCCTGAACATCATTCTGTATACGAGTGTTATCATATGTTCTTCCAAGAAACCAACAAGTAACAAGTGGTTTAATGCTTACTCGCAGGAAAAGATCAGGATCAGATTCAGAAACATATGGTACAGCAGTATTTGCAACAAGGCCTGCGTCTTTAGAGATTTTTACCATTAGATCGGTGAAGATGTTGCCATCATCGCCTTCCAGGTGCCGGATCGACTCCAAAGATATTTGAACAAGCTGCCCTGAAAAGTCAGCCGTTTCCATTAATTTCATCCCAACCGAATAGGCAACTGACAACCTTCGATAACCCTTAGGCTGAACAAGTCAGTTGTCTTCGTCTCGTTCACGTGC